CTGTGTGCGGAGACTCCTACTAGAGACCGCCCTACTGCCACCACCCACAAGGTGACAGGAAGACCCCGCTGCAGACGAGGAGCTTCCCTCTCCTGGAGGAGGGACGGTACGGCGAGCTTTATTGCGCGGATCGGAGTCTTCCTGACTGTAGCCCATTTGGTCCCTAAGTGCCTGCTTGTAGCCTGCGAGCTGCCTCCTAAACGTGGGGTTTCCAGTGAGCCATGCGCAGAGCTGGTCCCATCGGTCTTCTGTGTAGAGGCACTGGCCATATTGGTTATACGGGCGATCTTCCATTTTTGGACTGAGGGGATATCCATTACAGTAGTAGGTACTGAGGAGAGTACTGGGAATTTTGGGCGCAGTTATGCTATTAGCCAATGACACCCACAAAAGGCACTTTCATCGATACGCACCACTGTGCTTGACAATCCGCAGGTGGCGACAGTTTTGCCAGGCACGTGCCCCAACAGTGTGAATGCCTTCTTCGACGATGACATGGCGTATTCGTGGGGCTGCAAGAAAAGCACTAGGTGGGATGATCCCCGCTTCACTGGCTGGAACTTTAACTGCTTTCGGATAATCCCGATATGCACAGTCCTCTAAGTCCTCTTTTGATTGGAAGATTTCGACGCACTCTCGAACCACGATAGTGAAATGCCTATTCTCTTGCAGGGCGTCCCAAACGCGGTCTTGCAAGTACGCCTGCATGGTGGGATGGACAAAGTCAAATTCACTGCCAAAGACATCCAGGTCAGAGACAGTGGCTGGGCGATCGACTATGTGCTCTTCAAAGTCTTCGAATCTGTCGGATGCGTGAGGTAAAGAGTACGAATCAGGGGGATGCAGATGCCGCCACACGAGTTAATGATCACCCCTCCCCCCAGGTGACCTCTAGTACCTCCAGCACTGACCATGAATCAGGAGAGTCTAGCAAGCAAAGTGCAACACCGGTCGCGCTCTGTTCGCTTTCTTCTTGGTCGCAACCTGATCTGTAACTCACTCTCAACTCGACTAAGGTGACTTGTGCATAACCTGCACACACAGCGCCTCCACTCGTGCAAAAAAAAAAAGCAAAGTGCAACACCGGTCCATTTAGAAAAGACCGGGACAAAGCGGCCTGCACCCATCATTACCCAGTTGGAAAGTAAAGATGGCCCAGCGAATCTGGTCAGCGAAGGCGGCTACCCTAGCAGTCGTCCTTCTGCTCCCCCTGCCTCCTCCTCGAGCATGGACCACACACCCCCTACAGAAGCGAAAAGGCGCAACTGGAGGCAAGATGTGCCACAAAGCACAGCCTCTCCGCCCTGTGGAGTTGAACCGGCAACCACATCGCCGAGCAGTCAGTCGAGCCAAGGGGAGCAGGCAGCCTCCAGTGCGGCTGCCGTGCAAGTGACATCACGGCAATCGCCGAGGAAGCCCTGCGCGGTCAAATCGAAAGCTGTCAAACCACGCTCTTGCGCAGAAAGCCAAGCAACTGCCCAGCATCCCCGAGCAGGGCCCACCACAAGCACCACATGCACACTTTCAAGTTCAAACAGGTGTGCACACAGGACTGGTTGGCCTGGCAGCTGCTAGAACAACAGAAGTGGTAGCTGCGGACCCAAAATGCCGGCTCGCACAGGTGATCCTGTTGGGGATTCCCCTGCAAATCGAGGCGATGTTACTGCTGAAATTTACCTCCAAGAGGACGCAGAAGGCAGGGGCAGTTGACACCGACCTTGCACTCTCTGAACAAAGAGCAATGCAGGAAATGCATCGCTTCCAGAAGCTTCCCTGCAGGCGCTGGAGCAACCGGATGGCCTGCCGCACCTCCAACCAGCCTGTATGCCATGCTACCACAGGAGTGGCCACTGGCGCGCATGAGTGTCTGGATGCGGCACGTGGGCGTGCTCTTGCGTGTGACCCTCTGTCGACGTTCGGCTGAATTGAGCTGACTTTTCAGGAACTGCCTCGTGAAGTAGTGCGAGAGGTGCGCCGGGTTGATGGCGTCTGTGGAGCAATAGCAAACCAGTTGGCATCTCTATTCGCCTTCCTTCAACCAGACCAAACAGAGGAAGCGAGATGACCCCACAGGGCTTGCTCTCTATGCAGACGTGGCATTCTGGCGATACGGATTGCTGTCCTTCTGTGCAAAAACCTGCGAGTCCAAAACGACAGAAGTAGGCAGAGTTCCTGCCTTTCGTGCAAAAGAAGAAGGGACTACTCTGGTGCTGGAGACCAGTCGAAATGCCTTGTCACTCATGCAGACCGCAATCAGTACCTAGGCAAATCCGATCTGCCCATCAATCATGCGCACGTCTACTTCCCTGTACAGGTCGTTCACAAGCTCGGAGCGCATGGGTGTTCTGCGCCTCCAAGACGTTCCCCCGGAGAAAGCAAAAGGTATATTTTTTTTGCACGAGTCGAGGCGCTGTGTGTGCAGAATATGCACAAGTCACCTTAGGCTAGTAAAAGAGAGAGATACGAACCAAGCAGCAAGCCGAAACCAGACCAGCAAACCACAAACCAACAACGGAGGAAGGCAAAAGGCATAAGCGCAACAGTGAAAATGAGACCAACAATTCCTACATCATTGTCCCCTCCAATGAGGGACAGTGTGTCTCCAATGAGTACCCCGACACCTAGTGCCCATGAGCAGGGCATCCTCGACGCAAGTGGTCAGATGGTCTCTTTTCAATCTTCATGTAAGAATTCCTTCCCGCTGGAGGTGCCTGCACTATGTGTGTAGAGGATGCACAAGTCACCTTAGCTAGTAAAAGAGAGAGATACGAACCAAGCAGCAAAACCGGAACCAAAACAAACAACACCCCAACCCACCCAAAAAGGAGCAAGGTTCGTGCTCGCGTCCTTGATGTTTGTTGCAAGCTGCGCCAGGCTTCTGCCCTCATCCCGGTTCCATCATAGCGTCAACGTTCAAATTTCCCTTGCAACGCACTGTTTCGGGTTTTTTGGGGTCACAATCTGGGTTGGGTCGGACCGTCCATTACAGTGCGGGATACCACCTCGGTACCACTTCATTTGCGGCTCGGGCCCTTTGTCACAATGCGCGTGCCGCCTCGATACCGCTCGGGCCCAGGCTGTAATATCGGCGGGCTGAGTCATCGCACTTGCGGCTCCGGTGGCCACGGCGGGGGGTGCATCTAGCTGTTCATTGGCCTGAGAGCAGGAAGAGGCCAGAGGAGGGGGGAGCTTTCTTCTTCTTCTTGGCTGCTGACCGAGACTGGTTGGTCATGAAAGCTTTGCACTGCAGGGGCCCGTGAACCGGTCTCGGAATTTCTGTCGTGTTTTTGAGGCTAAATTTGGCTTAGGAAAGAAGCAAGTTATGAGTAGTTTCGAATGTCTGGCATATGTACCCTGCAGCAAAGTTTGATGTGTGAGGAACCATTGGGGTAGTAGGTGTTGGGTGAGTTAGGTGTGGAAGTTACGGGGTTGTGAGGGATGTGTCAAAAGCGCCATCTTTGCCAAGTCACCCACTTCCTTGTCATCTTTTTCAACAGCTGCCCCGTACCTCCTAGACTCCTAACACATGACATGTTGCGAGGTTTTTAGAAGAGACGTGGAGGAGTGAGTTCCCTGTGTTATACAGTAGTATACATTTAAAACAGGGTGGAGGAGTTTTTATTTTGGAGGAAACAAGCGGAGGAGCATTACACTCCTCCACATTTTGTTGTTGTGTTAGAGAGATCATTCCGTTTCACAAACTGGGCAAATTGGCGTACAATGCAACAGGGGGGCGCCAAGCATCAGCTTTTGCTGCTGTCGGCTGGGTCTGCACCCTTTTTTCCACGAGTGCGGACGCCATGTGGGCGGAGTGCCCAGGTCATCATTGAAGGGAAAGGAAACACAACATGATGAGGGGAAAAGAACACAAGCAACCCCAAAACCAAACAAAAACACCAAACAAAAACACTACCAAAGGCCAGAGGCCGTTTCTCCCATCTAAAAGTGTTTCCTCTGTACCAGGGTGAGACATGTGAGAAAGACTGCGGAATAACTAGGGGCCTGAATTCACTATGAAAGTCGGACGGCATGGTCGGTGCAGGAGCGGAGTGCAGCAAAGCCTATCAAAGGGGCTTCGCCCCACCCACCAAGCTGTGACCAAGAGGCCATTGCATCGAATGGAAAACGATGATCAGGTACTATGACGATGATCAGGTACAATGCAAGGCCTGCATTGTTTGTTGTCAGCCAGTCTGATCCTTGCCCAGGGGAGTCAGTGATTGCGTAGGTAAAAGGGTCACTGAAATGCAATTGTGAGCTTTGCGAGCAAAGCGTTGACCTGTTGTTATTTGAGGTCTTGATTTGCATGGTTGTCACATGTACATGTTTTCAAGTCGCATGTGTCGATTGAGCTTTGTGTCGTGTTTTTAAGCTTCGCATTGCCCGCCCACAGCCACCCTAGCCGCACGCACCTTTCGTAGAAACATGCGTGAAACCTCACAGAAGGCCAAGCCCTGTGCCTGGTTGAAACCCAGATCCTCGTTCACCCCAGTCACAAAAAGGAGCGACTCGTTTTTTCTTTGTGTGTCAACGCATCCTCCTTGCATTCTTAAGAAACTGAATTAATGACCAACAAATTAAACGTGGAAATCCTGCTTTGCAGATTTCGTTGTTGTATTTTAGCACGATGGGTCAACCAACTCCAGCCGCGAATCTTTCAGCCAGAGTGACAGAAGCAAACCAAAAAGATGTGGTTTCGGTTTAGTCCATTGGTTGTTTTCGCAAGACGCAGTAATGTCTGGCGCATTTACATGCAGTAAACAAAAATCAATCCAATATCATTGAAAGTATCTTTAAGTATACCGCACAGTATACATTCAAAACATTCAGCATTGACATGCAACCCTTGCTCATTCTTGAATGTAGTTCAATCAGCCATGACCAGCTTGTGTTCTTGGCCATGCAGGTGTGGAGCATCATGAAATATATTTTGCAGTGTGCTCTCAAGCTGTCCTGTTGATTTACGAGAGAGAATGGAAGGCGTTGGTGACGGCCAAGGCATGTGGCGGCTACTATTGCTGCAAGGTCTGAAAACAAATCATGTTTCATTCAATTTGTGAACGGTTCATTGAATATGCATGCTGGTGCCATGGAAGAGGGTTGTGCCAAATCTGTTAGGCTGATTGCATGCAAGGAGCCTCTTCTCCTTTTGGTAACCCGCAGCCATTTTCTCAAGCCTTGATGAAACTGAGTACAAGGCACGGCACCTTTAAACACACCAGAGGATAGTACCTCCATTCCACATATGGCGGTTAGGACGTGTGGATCCAAGAACCCGTGGTGGCACATCTGAGCTGTCTCCTTCGCACATTCTGCAGCTGGAGACCTTATGGCGAGCGAGCTGCTCACCAGTGGCGCTCCAGTTGCACATTTTCAAACACAATCATTCACTTTTGCTGCACTTTGGACCTTGTGTGCACTTTGTCCTTTTTTGTGTGGCAGTTTCGCTGAAAGTAACAATTGAGCGAGTGCCATTTCGGTCGCTTTGTCTCCTCCGTGCTACCGTTGTTCCCAATGCACACCCTTGAAGCGAAGGTCTCGACAAAGCTTTGCTCTCGGATGACACGGAACGCCTGCGAATCACGCCAGAAGGAATCCAATGGGTGTCTTGACAAAAGCTTTTGCAGGTCGGAGTATGGATGTGCACATTCGCCTAAAGTCTTGTGACTTGTGTTTTTTTCGATGGTCTGACTCTGTGGTGTTCTTTACATTCCTTATGCATTTCTCCCACCATCAGGTGCAACGATGCCTGGACGTGATCGAGGAGCGTTCAAAGCTTATGCAATCGAAGGTCCGGGCGCCGGCTGGGTCACCTTGTAGTCACATGTAGTCACCTCGTTTGGATCAAATCGAGCATTTTCTTTCATGATGTGTTACAACAACACACTGCTCATTCTGGCATCGACATTGTCCAAACTGCTCCTATGCCCAAGCAGCCACATTTCTTTGATTCAAGAGAGAATTACCTAAACGCATGCTCATACAACGTGGCTTGATGAATCACAAGATCAGGGAGGCAGAGAGATGAGTGTTTTATAATTATATGCATGGCACAGGTCTTTTGTTGCCTCTCCCTGCAGGGAATGACAAAATTTAACTTTGTCTTTGGCGTGTCCAACTCGCAGCTTGGACTTTGCTTCAGCTAGGGGAATAGACAAACAGCCTTCACAATCTGGTAACTTTCTGTCACAATGCTTGATTCGCTTTGCTAGGCCAAACTTTTTTTTTGTTGTGTGTGGATTGTGTGGATTGAAGAATTGATTCTGAAGATGTGAAGGGTTGGCAGAATTTGTGGCAGGCACAGACACTTTGACAAATATACCAGACTGCAGACTGCAACAGTTCTATTGCCTGCACTGGCCTGCCAAGGCTGATGGTTGCATGGAGTTTCGGTGCGCTTCCTGGTTACTTTTGGATTGCTCCTCGGCTGACCCACGGGCTATACTAATTGAGGCAGACAGGCTTGTTTCTGTTCTGAGCGCTTGAGTAGCTCAAGACTGATCAACGTGTTTGACCCTGACACAACAGGTCTACGTCATTGAGGTTGCTTGGCTTTGTGATTTTGAGCTGGACTTGCCAGAACTTAGGACAGTGCTTTTAGTCAACATGTGGGAAAAATATCACCGGAAGATCTTGCATGTGGCTATCGGATCAACTTTTGTTGCATCACAGCTCCAATGGCCTCCCAAAACAGACCACTAATGAGCTCTAATCGCTATGTCCTTGATCTTTGATGATGTGACGTGTATATGTAGATCATGATGATCCAAACCCGCTTGGGCGCTTGAAGTCACTGAGGTTTTTGTTTTATTGCCAGTCCGCTGGAGCAGAATGATTCAACGCGAACCTAAGGAGCACTTGTAACACATCTGGAAGAGTGATTTGTTCTTTCCCCAAACAGTTTACTGTTGGGCTTCTATCTTAGAAAAAAAGAGCTGGCCACACTCACTGGCCGCGCCCCGGAACTCTGTGGCTGGGCTCTGTGTCCAGGTCTTGTCTTCCTCTTGTGCTCCTCTTGTCCTTCTCTTGTCCTTCTCTTGGCCGCGCCCATAAACTCTGTGGCTGGGCTCCCCTGAACTCTGTGGCCGGGCTCTGTGGCCGGGTCTTGTCCTCCTCTTGTCCTGCTCTTCTCCTGTCTTCTCTTATGGCCGAACAATTAGCGATGTCGATGCCGACAGGGCGTACCAAGAAATCGTTTTCGATTAATATTGTCCCAACGAATCGTGTTAAAACTGTTTGAGGTCTATGCTGGTATAATTGTTTTTCATGCAGGGCTTTATACAAAAAATTGGGACACAGATTTCACCAGTCTCCTTTCATTGATAGAAGCGGAGGACTATGTGACTATGGCACAAATCAATCGATGACATCCGTGATTTAGGATGGGCAAGACGGCAAGACCTGCTACTTGCCCAGGCTGGTTGACCTGCCCAGGTATTGGCTGGACTTCTGCTGGTGTGCCAACTTTGTCGGCGACACTCAGCTCACACATAACGCTCGAAAATGGCCTTGAGGCGTTTTTCTCAGTTTGCACATGGTTTTTGTTTTAGCTCCAAATTTCAATTCTAGTTTACACAAGCCTGTTGTTGAAACCCTAGTGGGTGGCCTTTGTTGGGTTTTGAAATGTGCAGGCTATCGCTAGTAGGTTGGAGGCCATCGATAGTAGGTTGAAAACCATCGCTCTTAGGTCGGAGGCCATGGCTCTTAGGCATCGCTAGTAGGTTGGAGGCCATCGCTAGTAGGTTGAAGGCCATCG